ACCGCATCACACCCTGTCCAACCAATTAATGCCCACGTATCCTGCCCTAGCAGTCCCGCTGGGCCGGTTACGTGAAGTAAGAAGGAGCAAAAAGTAAACTCAGAAGGCAAGAGAGAAAGCGGAAAGAGCTAAGCAAGCGGAATACCAAGAAATTTGAGTCAATAAAGAAGAACTGAGAAATGAAGGTGAGTCAGCTAGGCAAAAGGAAAGGTATGCCGTTGCCACCCAGACGCATCGAGCTGGCGCGCAAAACCCTTAACCGTAGGTTCCCTAACCCCGTGATCTGGAAGGGAAGTCAGCGTATGCTAAGCACGATAGGCGCAAAACATTGCTTGAAGATAAATAGTAAACATAAAAGGACATGAGGCACAGGCTAGTTACACAGCAGCGGAAACCACGAACCCATCCGACATATGTCTACTTAGCTGCAGCTTCCCCTGCACACAAGTGTGCGGATATTCAATTCCATTACCATGGTCCGTTTTGTCGCCAAACATGCCGCAGGTTCAAGAGCGCAACTCTGGCGTTCTCCATGTTTGAGAGGAAGTCAGTTTCGATGCCACCTAAGGTTGGCTACCACGGAGACTGTGAACTGAACGCGCATTGCTCGTCCTGCATCACCTGAGTAGTAAGAGGTCCGTGAGCAGGGAAACAGCGGATCTTACCATTAAGTGTTCCGCTCAAGGAGCCACCTCGCGCTACCTATTGTGTGCCATTGCACCCGCGCTGTCTTTGCTTGTCTCACTGACGCCTGATTTTCAAGGACCAGTGGTGCGGAACAGCTGCAAGAGCTTGGGGTAATTGCCAACTGCTCTCGCCAAATCCATTTCTGCAGCCCGAGTGCTTCACAAGGCTTCCTTGTCGGCATCTTGGTTCCGCTTTGCTTTGCGCCTATCAGCCCGACTGGTCAACTTATGCCGTAATATGCCAAATCGTAAGGGCCACCAAGCACCTTCTTCTCCCTGCGGCCTAGAAGCTTCCCACCACGGCACATAGGGGTTGTTTCCGCCGTGTTTCAATTCTTCAGGAAGGATCCTGTTTGCGCCGGCACGTTTGCGGTATCGCACCTGAGCATTTGTGTTCCCTGCGTCTCATTCAGTGTCCGCGTGTCTGCAGCCCCTCCGCGTAGTAGGGGTTGCTTGACGCCGTGCAATGTGGCGCAACCAATCTACGAACCGTTTTCCAAGAAACTGTGAGTGCTAAAGTCTTATCCACATGATGTTTGCAGTCTGTGTACAGCTTGTGCGGTAACAACTATGCATATCTGTCCTCAGCGGCTGCAACCTGGGTCCATTCACCGCTTTTAATAGTCCGGATAGCAGTCCATTTGCTTCGCCTAGTCCGTCCGCCGTGCAATTGTACGGAGACGGAGCGGGCTATTCATTGGCCGGCGATTTCTGCGAAGCCGACTACTCTTCCTCAAGTCATGGGAGTCTGCGAAGAATGCAGCCAATGGCCATCCTTTGCACACACCAATGCGCCCATGGTAGCATCGTTCACTTCAAACCAATAAGGACGCTTATACGTTGCGTGCCCTACGTTTTCCTCTGCAACAGCTGCTACCTAGCGGTAAAGGCGCCTGACACAAGTCGCCCACTATTGCTCCGCATTCCACCTCATAGAGGCGTGCATTTGACGAGCGGCTGTTTCACGTAAATAGTCCTACAAAGACAACCACGGCATTAAATGCAATCGTACGGGATGCTATCGCTAGTCGCAGGGATGGCCTGCACATGACAGCAGAGATCCTTGTAAGTCCATTGGTACTACAACTTGCATAATCTGCCCTGCAGGAATACGGACTCCACAATCACAACCGGTATGGTTCTCACGCTGTTGCCTGTGGCATTAGGTTGGTTGATCAAAGCGCCGGAGGACGCATTGCTAAAGGTATTCAGTGCTTGCCATAACACGCTTTCAAAGAGTGTTAAGCAAGTATAAAATGGTGAAACCGGCAAGCGGTTACCTCAAGCACGCAGCACAGACAGATTGTGTCAAGGCTTAATAACATACAGCGTGAGAGCCTCATTGCGGCCTTATATACACGGACTTTCACATGGCCCAGTACCTACTTCTGTCGCCAAAGAATCCACAAGTTCAAGGAGGCAGCTGGGACGTGTGCCATGCGTCATTTGACGTCAGTATCTATGCGCCTATTGTCCGACTGCGGTATGTACGGCGCTGCTTAGCATGTAAAGCGAACAGCGCTTTAAGTGGAAACCATGGGAACCTGCGAAGAGTAATGGTTGCAAGATGACAAGGAATACAAACTTTTAAAACAATATGGCTGTTCCGTGAAGCAAATGTGTGACGTCCACACTTACCGATTGTAAGGGAAATCCCAAGGAAAATTTTACTAGCGAACACCCGATTTAGCGTCATTTGGAACTCTACAGAAACGCAACGTTATGTACGTCAAATTTAACGTACCCGCAGCGGTGCATACATGTGTATGCCGGCTCACCATGGTATCCTGCATAACTGCTGAAACCATCGCGCGCATATTTCGCAACTTATCCAATCTACTTACTCGCAGCTCGTCGAGCCATCCCCCTCTCGCTGACACACAGCGCAAACAGCGCAGTCCGAATCTTCACCAACCGTTGCCCCCTTGTACGCCATGTGCTGGTGCCGTGATAAGAGGTTCCTTTTTCGGGGTACGGCATTCCCTTTGCCGTAATATCATGTTGAGGACCGCAACCTCCACCACACAGGGTATCAAAGGTGACTGCCGGTAGTAACGCCTGCCGTCACTGTCAATACCCCTCGAAACACCAGACCTTGACTCGCCCAACAGGACCCCATAATTAACTTCGTTCTCCGGTGTAAGCCTCCTGGACGAAGAAAGATTGTGAAACCCAAACGGAGCAGCAGCATTGGAGGATGACGCATCCGGCCGTTGGAATATGTGAAATTCCTCCCTCCATAACCGTTGAAATTGCTCCACATTGAATGATCGCCCAAAAAGTTCAACATTACTATGACTAGCCAGAAGATCACGAATGAATGCCATAACGCCCATTGTGCGGTGGAACGCCTCTGTGTCCATACTCAACAAATGCGCCTTCAAGTCACCGAACTTAACACGAGTGATGCGAATTTTTCCGGCGCGATCAACGACTCCTTCCCTAAGGAATCGCATCTGCGTGACCGTCACCGTTCCCTTCCTTTCCTCGGATAGGTCCGGCACTGCTACACTTTGCGCTGGCAGAACCCAACGGCAACCACGAAACGCCACCTCATCGTCGTATGCGTGAAGACTAGCGGCGTGCACAACGTGCGCACGTGGAATGCGCCCTTGAAGAATAAATCGACATCCGCATCCGCTGCCATTCGTAACGACCAGACGTTGCATGCCCAGGCGCTCGTCATCCACTAGCCAATACCCGCCGTCTGGGTTCACACTGCGGATTCGAATCCTAAGACTGTGCCGCACATACTGCCGCCGGGCATATGACGACATCTTCCTCAAAATCACCTGCCCACTGCTTACCCCCCGTTCAAACTCGCACCTACCAAGCTTATCTCTAGCAGGAACGGTTTCGCTCACCTCCAAAATACCACTGCAACGCTGCACTATCACATGAAACAGGTGCAGTAGAGTAGACTGCTCACTCAAAGTTGCTTTCAACTGCTTAGTTTCATTCTCAACGCGATTAGTGCTGTCGCGCCCAAATAACATCATATGGCCCATCATACGCGCCACACAGCTAAGCCGCCATGTGATACGCGTGTGACGGAGGTACTAGAAGCATTCCGCTCTGCGCACCGATTTACCCTCCATGAGACGATGATAATGCGCGCAACCGTGCGTATACAACAACCATCGCAACATGCTGAACAGAGCCCTTTTATCCTCCGCGTTACGGAAGCGAAGGTGAGAGGATCGTCGCTGCATGTCGCGCATAATGTGTACCCGGCAGAAAACTATGTTGGCAGTGGATACGCATTGCGGAAGGCTTTCACCTGTGCAGCGCACATGTCCATGACCAACTTCGGACTCGAGAAACCCAAGGAACCAACTCCAGCATACTTCTCACTGCCTCTTGGTAAGTAGCCTCAGTCTCATTGAGCAGAAGCGCACAAAAGAAGCTCACACTAAGGCCGCTAACGTTAACAAATATACAATGCCATAGGATGTAACCGCCGTAATTGATCGGATATGTGGCGTCCGCCAAAAATACCTCCCCGTGTTGGCCCGCCAATTCCAGCAAACGTGAGGGGACGAAGCATCGTTATCGAGCCCATTTCCCTCATGCTTAATTTAAAGCTGGCAATTTCTCCGCCACAGCTATGTACTCTTCCCACTTCCTTGCCACAAGCGTAACGATGATACCGACGCAAGTCATACGAATCGCGCCTTGTTAAACGAATGATACATTGAAGTCGCACAAATGCACGCAAATATTGCGTCTGCCGAAACGTCTTCGTTAAGTTAAACACCATGCTTTCCTGAACCGCTGTTAGCCGCCGCTTTTGGCATAAAGTCAAGGCTTCCCCACGTGAAAACTGTGCGAATGGCAAAGATAGGCGTTTCCAATCTCGTAACATGCCCCCTTAAAAACCGCTGAGAACCGCGCAGGGCAATTGTAACATCGGTACCTGTTAAAATATATTCATCAGGCGGATACACAACACTTACCGCTTTCCAGCAACATTTGAGCGCTTGCTATGCACGCACACAAACTGAATATATCGGTACGGGCATCCTTCCGGTAGCACCTGTCCAGTCTCCCTTTGGTAAGCTTTCGTAGATTTAACGCTTCGACGGATGCACGATGTTGCCGTTTCCATCTGAAAAAGTTTCAGATCCTCATTCCTCGATGAAAAGTCCAGATATGGAGTCTTGGAGATACGTCGGAATGCACAAGAGTCATCCATCTTGGTTGCTTTCGGTAGAAGCGGGAAAATGATTAACCACCGCAACCCATTTAAACCGTTCACTTTATTGATTTCAACTCCTCCTCTTAGCATATCAGCAACGACGATAACATAATAATAAACACACACGTGTCGGAAGGCCCAAAAGTTGCATTTATCAACATACAACCCTGTGTACCACAATCACGCTGCCAGAAGATCTTTGATCGCGATTGGCGGGTCCGACGCTCCTAGCCATTCCAACCGACGATCTGTAAGAGGAGGCGCTTGAGGTTGACGCACCAAAAATGATACGCTCACCCGCGACTCTCGCTCGGTGTGCGCTTATCCAGGTTAGAATAAAATGGCTTTTTGTTGGTTTACCTTTGCTTACCCGTATTTGAATGGTTAAATTACAATGCTCTTTTTGTGCCAGTGGATTAATTCACCGAAGGAACAAAGTTGATATTAGTATTTATGAATGCTTGATAGATCCATAAAGACCTCGGAGCATTCCGTTTAAATGCCACATAAGCCCGATAGATACGGCTAACACGCGAGTCCAACCCGCTGTAAGGTTGCTTGGCCTTTCATCAGACCTGACCCGAACTCCTTTTACCCTATGGGTCATGTAAGGTTCGAGCTTTTATTCCCTTTAAATACCACGTTCCAACGTTCTTTCGTTTTTGTGCAGATAGTTCGACAAGAGGCCACGGTATAATTCTATTTAAACCATGGTGTCTTCGGGTTCGCCTGATGTCACTATCAATTCGTTTAGTGAATGACTGGAACAGTTTACCTGAGCTAGTCGTTAGTGCGCAAACAGCGGAATGTTACAAATGATTACTAAACATTTATTTGCTGAACAAGCATGGATCTTTTTGTGTTAACTGTGACTGCGGAACACTGCCGCATTTTGAGTCCGTTAGTTGCGTAATTCAGTGCGACTGTGCGTGTAGCTTGTCGTAGTGTTCCTATAGCAAATCAACAGCTCCTCTGTCCACTACGACCTGCGTACTCACCGGACCCGGAAGCCCTCGGAACCCTCGACCGGACGCTTATTACAGCGCGTGTACGTTGCCGTTGCTCTTGCGTACTTGTTTCGTCACATCGGAATTAGTATTTTGGCTGTATCGGTGTTGTTGTATCTGTGTCTGCTCTCGCAAGGATCCTGTTATATCGTTGGAGTCCACTTTGGCTTTGTGACGTGATGAGTCCATTTCAGTACACTCGTGTCACGCTGTCTTCCCGACTGGTGCTCTCGTCGATTGCATAGCTTGTCACCGTAAACCGGTTCACATCTTTGCTGCCTATCTATTATATTAACTTCTTTCTATGAACCCTCTCCGTCGTGATAGTTGTCAAACGCTGCTTAAACTTGTTGTGTCCTCTTTCCGACGACTGTGGTCATGTGTGGATAAGTGGCACGTCTAAAAGCGATTACAGATTCTTCCGCGGGCATGCAGTGCGATAACTGTAACCGCTGGTTCCATAAGGCCTGTACTGGCTTGGATCGTAGTTAGTATGCTCTTCTGTCCAGTAGCGAGAGTTTACCCTTGTAGTGACTTGTGTACGCAGGACTGAGCGTTATACGCCAGTAAAGAGCAGTCCTGTTTCTCTGGAAAGTTTGCTGTCTGATTGCCTCGCTAGATAGGAAAGTTGATTGGATTGTGAAGGGCCTAGACCGCTTAGGTCTTCTTTGTCACGAGACAGTAGAAGGCACTGACAAGTTGTCAGGCCCTGCATCTGTTTATTCACCGTTACATGTCAGTATACCTGTTAGCAGCGACCTAATTAGTAACGAACCCTCAGATAGTGTGTTTGATTCGGCTGTTAGCGAGGGAGAGCAGCAGGTTTCTGCCTTAGTCAAAAAAAAGCGAAATTGGGTTAAAAAACGGCAAAACCCAAGGCAGACGTGAGAGGTCCGTTGGATGCCATATCCACATTCCCCTCAAATTCTACTCCTACTGAATCGTTACAACTAGAATCATCCACGACATTAGTGTTCATAGAAACGATGTTAAACTGAAACCACCGACGTCCACGGAGCGTTCGGTAAATACTCCGCGTTGCGGAGACTCGTATACTGACTGCGGTGTTATTTTCATAAACGCCACTGAGTCATCTGCTGTTCTCCCAAAAGACCGTATGCCAGATGACCTTCAGTGGTTTAGAACATGCGTTACCGAACTCCTGCCGCGCGGCTTCCCCGACGTGACTGTGCGCAAACTAACCAGACTGGGTAACTTGCCAGCTGACAAGCCTCGCCCTCGCTTGTTGTGCGTTGTTCTGTTCACGCCGGAGGAGCGCCAAGCACTTCTGCGTTTCGTCTTTAAGCTTAACGGCACTGTTGTCATTGTGCACTTAGACCTCGCTTTGACGGATAGGCTAAAATTGCGGGAAGCTGTGCGAGATCTTAAAGCCCGCCGTGGAGAAAAGGGTCTCCGCTTGTTGGGCTTTCGGATGGTGAGCTGGCGGTCCACTTCCGCCCCGCCAGAGCCGGTTCTGGTGGCGCACGATCCAGGACTGTCATTGCTAAATCCCTTCAGGTGATCTTAAGCAACGTGCCTAGCTTGCGAAACAAGCTGTGCAGTCGGCGCCCTTGTCGACGAGTGCCGTCCAGATGTTCTCGCATTCACTGGAATGTGGTTGTCCACCAACGCCACAGAAAGTGGAGTGTGCTTGCCAGGCTATGTACTACTGAGTTGTGACTGCACTTCTGATCGGCGAGGAGGTGGCGTTGCATTTACTGTCTTTAAGACGTATTGTTTTTTGAGCACCAAGTGCTGTTGGGGCACTCGCGGTTAACCTGTGTATTGCTTCCGCGCAACTTAAAGTTGTGCTGGTCTATAGTAGCCCCGAGACAGCTTCAGTTCTGCGTTCGGGGATCACCGTGGCTGACACAGTTGAGACAGCCTGGGAGAAATTTAAAGCATACCTCACCGAGATCTCTGCTCCCCACATCCCACTTATTAAGAGACAGGTGACGCGCAACCTCTTTGGATAGATCATACAGCTAAATACCTGTTCAGGAAGCGCTCTAAATGCTGGCCTAACTTATCAAGCGGCTTCATCAACCAGCACCTACGAAACCTATCGAGCGGTTAGAAATAAATGTAAGAACTTTCTTAGAACTCTTCGTCTTCAGTACGAGGAGGATTTGGCTAACGCAGCCGTAACCAATCCGAAGTTCTTTGCTTACGTAAAGAGACGCAGCGGTACAAACTCGTCTATACCGACTTTACCACGAGCGGAGGGGACCCATGGGCATACCGACTATGATAATGCTTATCTACTTAGCAATCAGTATGCTGGTGTCTTTTCTCGTGAGGCATCTCTAATTCAGATAGAGCTGGTCACAAAAGTCCAAGAGGATTCTTGCCTAACTGAAATCAACTTAACGGAGACACAAGTCTTCGAGCTATTGCAAGGGCTAAATCCTTTCAAAACTTCTGGCCCTGATTCACTTCATCTGAAGCTGATGCATGAATTGGCCACTGAGCTGTGGCCCTCTGACACTCATGTTTACAATCTCACTCGGCAACTGTACCTTACCTTCGGAATGCAAGAAGGTAATCATCTGTCCGATTTTTAAGGGTGGTGATGGAGCTCTGCCCGCGAAATACCGGCCTGTCAGCTTAACAAGCGTAGTAATTAAGTTGTTTGAAAAATTGGTCAGGGATTCGGTGGAGAATCACCTGATTAAGTTTAACCTCAGTGCGGCCCAGCACGGACTCTGTAAGGGATTTTCATGTCTGACAAATTTACTTGTAGCTCGTGAAAGCTGGGCTGACGCAGTAGACAACGGTCACGCTATCGACGTGCTTTTCGTTGACTCCTCGAAAGTCTTTAATACTGTCCCACATCAACAATTCATTGAAGTTGAGATCGTATGGGATATCTGGAGTCGCTCTTAAATGGGTCTCTGCTTTCCTAGAGGGGAGAGAACAGTGTATACGCGGGGGGCGTAGTCTCTCGCTTAGACAAGCTGTTCTTAGTGGCGTTCCGCAGGGCTCTGTTCTAGGGCCATTGGTTTTCGCAAATTATGTCAATGACCTACCCCAGGAGTTTGAAGTACCGTCGCTATTGTTTGCTGATAACCTCCTGTTCTGGAATATTGTGGGTGTCCCTGGTGGCTCTGACGCACTTGGATAGAGCCCAGAGCCTTGGATAGGCTCTGGGATTGGTTAGCCTTATGGTTGATGCCTATAAATCAGGCGAAATGTTCTGTCCTCCGCATCGGAGGTGCTAGTCCCCCCACGCGCTACGTAGTTGTCACTCAGCAGGTTGATCTAGGTATCACCCATACCTCATTGCTTCAATCTGGGGACAATTGGAGGAAGCCTGCTTGTAAAGGGTTCCGTATGATGTGGTTTATTCGCCGCTCCTTCGGTGTCCTAACGACCAATATTTTTGTGAAGCTGTTCTCAGCTTTTGTGCGATCCCACTTAGAGTACTCTATCCAGGCTTGTCTATCTTGTCTTGTAAAGGACGAAATGGAACTAGAGAGGGTTTTGCGAGTGAATACAGGGTCAGTGCAAGGATTACGGGGACAAACGTACCCCGAACGTTTCTTTGGCTTGGGTATGTGCTCAGTGCACTACCGCGGAATTAGAGGAGACTTGATCCTCACCGTATCTTAACGTGTAAGATCGGTCCAGGCTTGTCCTGGATATTTAGTCCCACCAAGCTGCCTAATTTCCGAGGTCACTCGTTGAAGCTGCATAAACTGCGTTCTGACCGGGTAAGGACGGAAACTCGCTTGTCGCGCCGAGTTATTGAACGTTGGAACTCGCTTCCGGAGCACGTTGTTAGGGAGTCTACGGTAGAGGATTTCGAGCGTCAGATGCTCTTGGGTGGCAGTATTAAACCTTCCCCTTCTCCTAACCGACTTGTATCTTCAACTTTCCTTTGGTTTTTTTAATTTCTTCTCACACCTTGGTATTTCCTTATTTAGCTGACATTCCTCTTCTTGTTTTCTTAGCTTACCCTTCACTCTTACTTCACATAAACCGCCAGGGACTGCTGGGCAGGAAAATGTGGGCAGTAATTGGTTGGACAGGGTGTGACGCGGTCTTTGTTTTAGGGTTTTCAACATCTCAAGCAGACCTATCAATTCCCGATCCGACGATACGCAAAAGAAGGAACATTCACGGGATTATCCTATCGTTCCGGTCCCAACTGAACTTGAACTTGTTAATTTCATCCGTGAACATTCGGCAAATAGATGTTTAGTAATGGGATACTTTAATCTTCCCGGCGTTGACTGACAGAATTTTTCCTGCGACGCTGTTACAAGGTGTTTGGCTACCGATTTTCTCGAGCTGGCCTTGCATGCTCCCCTGCACCAGTT